TTCCTTTAGACATGGTGTCAGAATGACAAAGACTTAACACGTTCCATCAGGGTGAATATGAAATAAATTTCATTGACATCTTGCATTATTGCCCTCGGTACAGGTGTCTAAGATGCTCACACTGCACGGGTTTTAAACCCTATATTCTTCAAGGTCTACAAAACAGCACCGCATCATGGATAACATTTTGTGATACCAGTGACCTGCATAGAGCACTTTCCAAATTCAAAAGCATTTAATAACAGCAGTAAATTCTGAAGTGTATATTGCAAATGCCAGACAGAAAGGAAATAAATTACAGGTCACCTTCGAAGAGTTGTTTGAACATAAAAACAACATTTCCCCCCATTTCGAGACCGCCTCAGGTTCCCCCAAAATAGGCAGCAGTGCAAAATTTGGACTTGCACCACACAATCCGACACACAAACATCTCAAACTGCTTATTAATCAACGTGGGACATGTAGTTTTTACAACAGGAAACTGAAATCGGGAAGAGTAAAGTCCCAATGGCTCGGAATGCAGTCAAAACTGAAGTAGATTTACCTGCAATTCAATGCAAGTTCCCATTTCAGTATAGCTATTAGTGGGATTTGGCGAGTGAGCCCAAGACCCTTTAGAGGAAAGAGAGAAGTCTGCATCCATCCATGTCTAAATGGGCCAAAGACAAGATCTGCAAGCAACTGCCTCATTAACCCACCTTGCCCCAGACACAAACTCACGCCCATTTATTCTCAGTCTGATGAGTTACCAGCACTATTTCCATTAAATTCTGCTGAAACATACAGAACAATGAACCAGACAACTTAAACAATGAGCCACAATTTCAATTTAATATAGATAGGAACACTTTATATCGAGAGACAGCCAATATGCAAGCTGATTTGAGAGCAGGACAGTTATAAAAGACCATTTTGATTTGAATAAAGGTGGCTTAGTTGCTTAAGAGTCTCCACTTGTTCCAATGCCACACAAAGGGTGCTGTGACCAGAAATGCAGCTGAACAGAATATGCATTTGTGGCAATTTAGACAATAAAGCATTGACCAATTGTTGACCACGTTGAAGTAGCAAACAACCATACCAAAAAAAACAATAAATCTTGAAGTTTGCCACACCTCTCACCTCCTCTAAAGCAAACTAAATCTCTCTGGAACCAAATAACGAAACCTTTCAAGTCCAATAAAGCTATTAATGATACCAACTCCACATCAGAAAAATCTCCTTCTCAGGTTAATTATTGGAATCGTACCAGCATATTCACCAGGAATAAAAGCTACACGTCTCATTCATGCAGAACCACACCCAGCAACTATAATCCATCCAACACTAAAATCTACAGAACACCAAATATTTTCCCTGAAAATCAAGTGATTCATTGAAAATAGTTAACTTCAGCAGGAAAAAAATTCTAACCTGTAATGGTTTACTGTGGTTGTCAACTAAATATAAAGTTTACTGAACTAAATCAAAATCAGAGACAGGAATACATGAAACTCCAAAATCTATCCTACCCCGATCACTCCATCAGATCCTATTTGAATAGTAGAAGGCCCAAGAAACTAGCAACACAGCACAGCAAGAAAAATATCTGTGTGTGCGTGTGTGAGAGAGAGAGAGGGAGAGAGAAAGGGAAAGCGATTCAAAGCAATGATATCAGTTCACATTTTCACTGCATAAAGGTGATTTAAGTAAATAAAGCAAGGGGGAAAAAAATGACAGCTTCCAAGCATTGTGCACTATTGAATTTCTAGCCATTTGGAATTTAGACCGTCAGCGGGTTTGTTTACCCTCCTTTTGCACCATTGCGTTAGCAAGATTCATCTGGAAATAACCTTGTTGCAACTCAAAAGGCATGAACATCCCAATTTCAAGCGCATTTCTTAGCTTGTTGCACTGATGCCACCATATTTATTGCTGCGAGACACAATCTACATCAAACCTCAAATTCAACGCCTGTAGCAAATATAAATGCAAATCCAGACTATTTGCTTATGAGAAAATGGTGGATCTGGTACAAACCACAATTTTGTAACAAGTCCTGCGTTGGGAAAGAATGGAATATATTTCTCCCCATTGTGAACTGAAGAAAACCAATCTTTCGATTCTAAATGAAATGCGTTTGCTAAACCATTGCCTAACGGAAATAGCAACTTGCATTGATCAGGAAACTGGGATAGGAGCAGGATCCAAAGATGCGATTACAGGATAAACTGGAAAAAGACCTGCACATAACACATAATGGTCACAGGAAGCTGTGCACATTAATTACTCAGTTAAATTATCCAAACTGAATTTTCTACTCTTCACAAATCAAGTTACTATCATATTTTAGAATACATGTTTGCCAACAAAATACAGCCACTCCATAGTATATCCTGCGAAGCGCTTTGTTGCGCATTCTGATGTGAAAAGCACTATATCAAATGTAAGGATTATTACAACACACTCCTGCTGGGTTGCAATGGACAAAACCAGCCTTAAGATAATAATAATAATCCTTGCATTTGATATAGCGCTTTTCACGTCTTCTCGACGTCTCAAAGCGATTCACAGAATAGACTGTAAAGTGAATTGACTGTATACTTGTGGGTGAAATGCGGCAGCCAATTGCGCGCTGCAGTGTGCCACAAACAGTCAGGGATTGAAGTGACAATTTATTATTGTATTTTTTCTTGAGGGATTATAATCAGGCGTGTGGAGTAAAGAAACTTGCCCAGAGTTTCACCCTGCCGGGAAACGAACCTAGGTCTCTCACTTGCAAAGCGAGTGCTCTAACCACTGAGCTGCAGGACTCCAAATAACTAACCAGATGGCCATTCCTCATTGAAGAGCTCAGTGAGCAAGTCAACATACTTGGTAATTCCCCTCATGGTTGTGGGACTACACTGTGTGTAAAATGATTGTTGCGTTGCTTGTGAAAACTGGCATTTCATTGTTGAGCACTGAACAAAAAAAATCTAATTTTTCTATACAATCCTGAAGGGGACTGCATTAACCTCTAATCTTGTACACATCAGGCATCATGAATTGCAGGAACAATGGCTGATGTTAATTTGTTCTCTTCCTCCACTCAAAAAAAGAGGGACAGGATCTAAAACGTAGTACCCCACTGCTATCGCAGAGATCAAATCAACTAATTCTGTGCGAACCGAACAAATCTGGGATTATCCTCGTCTTCCTGGTTCAATATCACACCAGATGGCATATTTGGCCACTGAGCCATCAGAAAACTGTTTGATCAAAAATCATCTTTATCTGTTGAGCAGCATTTAAAACAATTGTTTCAAGATGCTACCCCGCTTGAAGGGAACTATATAAATGCAAGTTGTGCTTTTCTTTGAATATCAACTACAAAGTTTAATATTTACCAAGTAAATCAGTCGCGCCATCTTTACAAAACAACTTGGACTTCCATAGTGCCACCCACCCAGGGTAGTGTCTCAGAGTGCTTAACAGTGGCGGAGCCTGACTCCGAGCTGGGGGGAGGTGGCCGTAAGCACGGTCGAAGAAGATTTTTGCAATTAATCAGTCAATTCCAAATATAACATTGGCAAACAAAACCCTGGCTGTAACCAAGCCAGGACCCACCATTAAAGTGTTAAATGTAGGATTTACTACCCTTAAAGACCTCATTTCTCCCAGATCCTCCAAGGTGTGATAGGAGTAGACAAAGCTGAGCTCATCGCATTGATCCTGCACAGTCACAACCAACCAAACTAGGGTCAGATTGTAAGGAGGCAGGAGTTCAGTTTGCACAAGCGAGAGAATACATGCAAAGCTGCTTGCAATCATTTCCCAAAGAAAGACTATTCTATTGAATCAACTGAAAGGGAAAAAAATCTATTCTTTTATATATATTTTAAAAAAACCAGTCAGTGAAGCCCAGCAATCTTGCAAATTGAATTAATTTACGATGCAATGGGCATCGACCACAAATTGCATTTATATACCGTCTTTCACGTCACGAGGACATCCCACGTTGCTAGGCCATCACATCCATTTAACATTCTATCCAAATTAAAACAGAACACGATGATATGTATATATATATATATGCGCATTTCATATATACACATATATCTGACAATTTTAAAATGCATTCCATTAATCCACGGAAATTTAGTAACGATACCAACACAATTATATACAAAGGTAAGAACTGCACCCAAAAAATTAAGATGGAGGGGGGGGGGAAGGGGAGGAGGAATGGGGCAGGGAGGGGGAGGAATGGGGCAGGGAGGGGGAGGAATGGGGCAGGGAGGGGAGGGGAGGGGAATGGAGGAGGGGGAGAGGGGAATGGAGGGGGAGAGGGGAATGGAGGAGGGGGAGGGTGGGGTACAGGGAACGCAAGAGGGGGGGGAGGTGGGTTAATGGAGGAGTGGGGAATGGAGGGGGGCGAGGGCGAGGGGAATGGAAGGGGGGGAAAAAAGGGGGAAATTGATGGGGGGGGCGGGAGGATAATGAGGCACCATTCCACTCTGCCCCCCCCCCACCCACCTCGCAGTCCCTCGTCTCGCCTCCTCCAAAGACCCTCCTCCTCCACCGTGATTTCCATCACCCCCCCCCACACCCCCCTCCCCCCCCCCCCACACCCCCCGCCCCACCCTCCACTGAGTGTCCGGCGTCTTGGGGCGTCCTCCCCACCTGAGAGGCCCCGATACGGAATGGTCATGTGGTGGTGGTTATTGTTGAGGAGGAGGAGGAGGAGGAGGAGGTGAAGGAAAAGCCCACAGGACAGGGGCGGGGGAGAGGCCGAGCCCGAGCCCGGGGGGGGGGGGGAGTGAGTGAGTGGGGGGGCGGTCCGGGGTGAGGTTCAGCCTAAGGTGAGGCCGGTGTTGGGGGCCCTGTGTGTGCTGACTGAGGTGAGGTGGAGGTGAGGCGGCGGCGGCTTGTCCCCGGCCCAGCCCTGGCCCTGCCCCCCCCCGCCCTACCCCCCCCCGCCCTGCCCCCCCCCCGGCCCTGCCCTGCCCCCCCGGCCCTGCCCCCCCCTCGGCACTCACCGCGATCACGTTGACGAAGGTGGTCTTGCCCGAGTACTGCAGCCCGACCAGCGTCAGCTCCATCTCCTCCTTCCAGAACAGAGACTTCAGCCAGTCCAGCAGCTTGTTGAAGAAGGCCAACATCCCGGCGGCGGCGGCGGCGTGAGAGAGAGCGAGCGAGTGAGGGAAGGAAGGAGAGAGAGGGAGAGGGCGGGCGGGCGGCGGGGGAGAGGGAAAGGTGAGGAGGGAGAGAGTGAGTGAGAGAGTGAGAGAGAGCGCGCGCGGGAGGAGGGGAGGCAGAGTGAAGCCAGGAGCCGCCCGTCACCTGACTGACCGACCAACTGACTCGCAGCCACCGCCAAGCACTCTGGGACGTTGGAGGACTCGGCTCCGCTCGGCCCTTGGGAGGACTTCGCGTGTGTACGGGGAGGGGGGGGGTTGGGTGGGTGTGAGTGGCCGGGAACTCTGGGACGTTGGAGGACCTCGGCCCTCGGAGGACTTCGTGGCGCGGCCGGGAACTCTGGGACCGTGGAGGACTCGACCGCAGGAGGACCTCTGACTGCCAGCGCCGCCTCGCGTTCACTCGCGCGCCACCGCGCACAGCGCCACCTGGTGCTCACACACGCACACAGCAACACCCACACACACACACACACACAGCGCCCTCTAGTGCTCACAACCCCCCACCGCACATACACACACACGACTACGTTTTACAGCCATTCCTCGTGAAGCGCTTTGAGACCTCATCATCATCATCATCTTCATCATCATCATCTTCATCATCATCATCATCATCATCATCATCATCATCTTCATCATCATCATCTTCATCATCATCATCATCCCGGCATTTCATACGGCGCCTCTCATCGCGTCTTCGAGACCTCTCAAAGCGCTTCACAGGACCCGCCGTGAAGTGTAGTGACTGCGCCTTTTGCGGGCGAAACCCAACAGCCAATTGCGCCCGAGGACGTCCCCACAAACAGTCACGGAGCGAGCGACCAATTGTATTCGCGTGGGGGGGGGGGGAGGGGTGGGGGGGGGTGCGGGGGGTGGTGGGGGGGTGCGGGGGGCGGGTGGGGGTGTGCGGGGGGGGGGGGGGGGATTGTCGACCAGGACACCCGGAGGGAGAGAAAAACTCCCTCCTCTTTTCGAATGGCGTCGCGGGGTCTTTAACGCCCGACCGGACGGGCAGACGGGACCGCGGTTTAGCGTCTCACCTGAAGGAGAGCAGCTCCGTCAACGCAACGCCTCACCCCCACCCACCCACCCACCCGCCAGCCGCCCCCACCCCAGCTCCGCGCTGGAGCGTCAGCTTGGACCACGCGTGCGTCCCAAGTCCCGAGGTGGGGCGTGAACCCAAACACCTTGTGACTCAGAGGCCGACACGTCCTTTCCACACCGACCCATCTTTATTTTGTCTTTAAATCCCCCACTTAGAGAACAACCTCCACGACCGTGGACTACGGTCACTTCCCCCTCTCTCCCTTCTCCCTCTGCCCCCACCAGCCCTGCAGGACCCCGTCCCGTCCCCCCCCCCACCCCGAGATGCCATCCTGCACGAAAGCCATCCTGTGTAAATAAGTGCAAGCGGTGACTGTTGTAATCCTCGCGTGAGCTTCATTTTGGCGACCAAACGTTGTTGCGGGTGAAGACAAGGCGCGACGTTGAGTCTTCTTGCCTTTGTTGGTCACAAGAAAAGGACTCGGAAAGACCTGGCAATTTGGAGATAATTCAATGAGAGCCGCTATTATCAAATGACATCCTCTGTCAACAAGTCGTCTTTGAAAGCGGTTTAGCTGTTTCCCTGGGAACTGAAATCCATTGCAGATGATTTGTTGGGAGACAATTCCGTGTTACAGTCTGTCTCCAACAGATGCTGGGGGTGTTGCAGTTTGAACGCAGACACGGGTTCAGGTCTGCAAACAATTATAATATCAGTCGAGGAGCTTTAATCACTGTAATTAACATGTCTCAAAAGTGTCTGACCGGTTCTTGCAGGGGGCACCCGAGCTGAGGTTGGGAGCCAAGCGACGGGGTGGGGAGAGGGAGGATGACTGAAAAGCGAAGCCAAAGAGGTCCGTTCTGACGCTTCCCTTAAAAGAGTGGTTTTAGGGAGGGAGTGAATCTTAGAGGGAGAAAGGAGTTCCGGAGAAACGGTGCCAAGTGGGTGGTGGGGGAGGATAGAGTCAACCAGATCAACGGCAATTGGGCCTTAAATTAAGGAAGGTATTTTAATCTGGAGCGGGTATCTTGAGTGGATGCTCAGGTGAAATCCCTCCGCAGTCCCAACCTCACCTCTGTGACCTCCTCAAACCCTAACAACCCTTCTTTACGGCCCAGACCCTGCCCCACCCCACCCCGCCCCGCCATCGGTGGTCAGGCCTTCAGCCTATCTGCCCCCCCTCCTCTCTGGAACTCCATCCCAGAGTCCCTTTCGACTCCCCCCTTCCCTCACCTCCTTCGAGGCCCATCTCAAGAGCTTCCTCGTTGACCGCGCTTTCAGCCACCTTTCCTTCCTCCCCCACCTCGCCCCATTGGCCCACAGTCCCAGCTCAGGCACAGACCCTCCAGCGCCTTGGGACGTCCTCCCGCTCCGAAAGGCGCTGCTTAAACGTAAGTGCGTACTGTTCTGTACAGGCACGGAACGCGACAGAATGAATTCTTCCCGTCTGCGAAGCTGCGGGCTTCGCTGTCTGACGCTGGGTGTTTTGGTAAAGCGGAATATCAAAGCATTCACCCCAACAACAACAACAACAAGATTCCATTTATAGAGCGCCTTTCACGTCGGGAGGACGCCCCATCGTTCGTGGCTGCTCTGACTTTCTGAATGAGTGATCTATTCTCGCTCCCCGCACCCCTTTTCGTATTTTTCCTTTTGAAACACTGTACGTGTCAAACTTTAGCTACGAGGAAGTGGGGGGATGGGGGTGCGGGCGGGGTGGGGCGGGGCGGGGGAGACGGGCAGGAAGGAAAGGGACCGAAAGGATCGCTCTTAAATGAGCCAGCACAGGCACGATGGGCCGAATGGCCTTCTTCTGTGCCGTAACTTTCCACGGTTCTAAATGTCCTTTAAAAAGCTATTACGGATTGCACTTCACACAGATATCTTTTGTGGTCAAAAGCTTTTCCATCTCCTAAGTGACACCTCAATACCGTTGGTATTTTATTGGGACATGATCTTAAGTTTATGGTCTCATGGACTGTCTAAGATAAAGACTTTGCAAATTGTGACTAATTTCATAACAGATCAAAGCAGGAAAATCCCCTTGAAAACTATCTCCCCCCCACCCCCACCCCCCTCCATCCTTCTCTCTGCACTTGGCCAACGTTTTAGGATCTGAATCACTTCTTGGTTTAAGAAACCGAAGCTGCCAACAAATGGTCCTTGTTGAGGAGAGATGTTTCTGCCAACCTGTCGGATAAATCAAACTCACTTATTATCAAATCATCTCATTTGTCCTGAGGTCTGTCGTAGCCAAAGGTTCATCATTAAAGTCTGAAGACAGGAATGGAGTCAAACACCCAACTGAAGCTCCACCGAGTGAGTAGTTTGGACGAGATTTTAATCCTGTCAAAATAAAGTGCCTCGAAGTTATTGTCTTGGCAGCGATTAGGAAACGTGGAATTCACTGGCCCTTCCCAGACAAGATTCCTTTCAAAAATCGCAGCAGTTAAAATAAATTAGAGTCTACCGGGTTTGCTTTGGGCAATTTGTGATGAGATGAGTGCAGAGGGGAGGGAGGAGAGAGAGGAGAGAGGAGAGAGAGAGAGGAGGGAGGCAGGGAAGAGGAGAGCAAGGGAGGGAGAGGAGGAGGAGAAGCTCAAATATGGCAGCTAAAGCAAGAAGAAAAGAGCGTCAATAAGACCCCAACAGGTTCTCCTTTCAAGATCAGACTTTGTCTGAACAAAGGGACATCGGACCAATCTCTATTTGAGTAGCACGGGGGAATCTTTAACATCCGCCTGACAGGGACAGACGGGGAACTTGCATCAATGTCTCATGGGAACATAGGAACTGCTGGACCAAAGAAAGGCCGAGGTGCGTCTAGTTCACCTTCTACCATCCTGGCAGTCGCTTGCTACAATAACGGAGATGTTGATTAGGAATCAGTTCGGTCCGGATTAGTCTGCAATGCCAAAATGCTGAAGCGTGGCACCTCCGACTGCGGTGGGGGGGAATGAGGGAGCGTTATGTTGTCTTCAAGACGAGCGTTGAGGACTGTGAGCTCAAAGTCCCTGACGTGCGGCTTGAAACCACAAGCTTCGGACTGACGTGAGCGAGCTGTGCCAGGCTGACGGGCGCATCGGACTGTAAATGACTGCAAAGCGTCCACGTGCGGCATCAAAAGTAAACCGACCAACAAAGTGCTGCGTCTTGATTTTTTTTTGGGGTGACACAAAGTGGAATGTCCGTAGACAGTCAGAACAAACCTGTGGCAGCACCGCACTCTACTGTTAGAGGGGCTTTCCTTCATCTTCACGCATCAGATCGAGAACGCAGCGGTTACACACAAGATAAGATCGAGCAGAACAGTTTTTCACTATGATTCCAACCCGAAACTGTCCTCAGGGAAACGCCAACACTCGAGAGACACCATCCGAGCCCCATCTCAAGCGCCACAGTCAACAATTCAGCCCTCAACCACCCTCCGCCCCGCCCTCCGCCCCCGTGAAGATCGAGTAACTATCACACCAGGGAGTTTCACACCTTATGTAATAAAAATAATACTAATAATCCTTGCATTTGATAGAGCGCCTTATCGCCTCGTCGAGATGTTTCAAAGCGCTTCACTGAAATACTGTAAAGTGGAGTGACTGTGTGTTTTGTGGGCAAAACGCGGCAGCCGATTGCGCACAGCGGCGTTCCCCACAAACAGCCGTGGGTTGAGTTACCAAATTGTTTTTGTTTAAGAGTCCTGCACTGAGCTGCAGGACTCTTAATGGTAAAGAACAGTAATAATAATAATAATAATAATAATAATCTTTGCATTTGGTATACGGTGCCCCTATCGTGTCTGAAGGATGACCCAAAGTGTTTCACAGAATTTACTATGAAGTGTAGTGACTGTGTATCTTGAGGGCAAAGGCAGCGGCAAATTTGTGCGCAGTGATGTCCCGGCAAACAGCCGTGAAGCGATCGATCAGTTTCAGCGGGGGATGGGTTGCGGGGGAGGCGGA